AGCTTTTAAAGCTCAGAATTATAAATTTAAACGAACTTTTAAAATTCAAACTTTGATCAAGTTCGATGCTGTATCGGAGAAAGATTTAATAGAAATGAAATGATTTATGTGCAAAGAAATCATTTTTTTAATAATTTTTTATTGTACGATAATTTTCGATTTTCATAGGATCTATAAAAACTAATTTAAAAATATTTTCTATAAATTATTTCTATCTTTGAATAGAAATTTGAGTACATTTTTACTACAACGAGATAATACAGAGAATTTATTTCAATTATAGAACTTTCTTATAAGGAAACAGTCATGTTAAATTTTCTATTTTATAGATTTAAACAGTCAAACCTCGAACAGCCTCTTCACCTTTGACTTTGGTTTTTTTTTAAATTTCTCACAGAATTTATAATGAAAATAATAAATTATGAAATGTGAATAATTAATTCTTTTATGAAGCACCAATTCGATTTTATGTAGTTATGAAAAATGTTAAGATGAAATGCAAACTGACCTCAAATTTGCTATTATAATAGAAGTTGACTTTGTGCTAAATTACCGATAATTGCCATTTAACATGCTTTTGATAATAAAATTCTTCAACTACATGAAATCATAAAAATTATTTACAAGCAACTAAATCACCATGGGAAATTCCAAGAACAACTTTCAAAGACATTGCATAGCTAAAATTATGTTCTGAAGTGCAGTTCGAGCGTCGGTAGCTGGAAATTTATCAAGAACAGTCATTGCTGCTTGGCTATGCTTTCGTTGAAGTTCTTTCGTTTGATCTATTCCTGGACCATTTCTGACAACTTCATGAATTTTTCCATAATCAATATTCTCAACAGAATGAAAACCTTTCTTAATTTCATTATAAAGGGACGGATCATAATCAAGATGATACAAAACTGGTGCACTGACGAGACTAAACGAAACGTTATGAGGAATTTCGGACATCCGAAAAGGTTCCAAATCCATGCTTGCTTGCCAAGCGAGAGCTAAATGCTTTCCAAACAGATATCCTTGCTTTTGAAACGTGATTGGTTGACCAGCCAACTTTAATGTTCCTTGACAACTTTTTCCAAGTAAGGAACCAGACGAGAGTGTGTGACGAAACGACCATTCACGTTCTGGATGACCCAACACTAGACTCATGTCAATTCCTCTTGTACTGGATAGTTCATCTAAATTTTCATCAAACGTCGCATTTATTTTCATTGCTGGATCAGATGGTAATGCGTTGTTCTGTTCATCTCGATCACCAATAAAATTCGATTCAGCAAGGTCACGAACTGCCGACGATATTAATTCGATAAGCTCTTGATTTCTAATGACAAGTATGAAGGCAGTCAATGAATAAGATTTTAAACAATTAATTTACTCAACCACTCACCTGAGACCAGCTAATTGTAGACAAGCATTTCCTAACAAATAATCACCACCAAGAAGTGCAATTTTATTTCCAAAAATCATTTCAGAATCAGCTGAAAGTTCATTTCCCGAATTTGCTAAAGTTTGCAAATTTACAAGGCCTTGATGAATTAAATGTGACGTTCGAATCATTTCTGTCACTTCAGCAAGTGCTCGTTGTGAATGAAGAACACCAGCACTTTTATCTTGCTCCATTTCAGGAATATCTGGTGCGTGTCCGGCTGCTTTTGAGACAAGTAGAACAATCAATCCCCAAGCTTGCATATTTGATTTTCCATCGTAAATCAAATTTCTATAATGGTGGTAAAAGATGAGTGAAAAGAAGAGAATGAAGATATTAACAGTTGTTGCATCATAAAACATTTTTCTTCACATTCTGACAATTAGCGTTGAGAAAATTGATGTTACCGTCACAACAAATCATTTATTTCTTTATAATGCTATTGAATGTGAGCATTAAAGTGGATTTATCCGAGTTTTTTTTATGTTTCAATGAACATTAACTGTGCTCTCGTAAATTTTACGGTATGGTTTCTAGAGAAAGTTAAATGTTATGCTAAACTTACTTTGCAGTTTTCAATAGCGGATGATTGCTTCCTACAAGTTTTCGCAGGTGAAGTGCAACATTAGCAATCTCATCGCTGAGAAGCCATCGAAGACTTAGGAAAGACGTCGGGTAGCCAACGATCTTCTCAGCTTCACTCACAGCCCTATTCCAATCGGGCTTATGCACCGCTTTAGCTGCACTTTGAGCATTACTTTGGGATGTTGATGTGATAGTTCGAGCGATATTAAATACATTTTTCTCTAAACTTGTTGATGTTGATAAATATTTCAATATTTGATTTGATGCACGTAAATAGCACAAACGGCTTAAAGACATCGTATTGTTCTATTTCCAATTGAATTAATTGTCTATTGCAAATAACAGTAAATCAATTGTATCACGTAATTGGCCAACTTTTAATTCCTTGTGAAGATGTTCAAATCTATTTTAATAAATTCTTATTAATTTTTTAATTATTTTTTGTTTGCTTATGACGTAAATATCAAAGAAATCTAAAATGAAATAAAATATTCTTATAAATTATTTCTGTTTAAATTTCTTTCTACTTCAAAGTTTACGTCTTTACACAATTACGAT